TCACTTTTTCCATTTGGAGCTTCGTGGTCTTTTCATGTGGCTCATTTTTCTGTATTGGTTAATCAAGAGCAGTGATTATTCAATTGAAATTGTTGTCTTTTTGTGAAGATTGGCAAGTTGTCATAAAGTTAAACTCTCTATTGTTGCCAATCTCTATATTCTTGATATCTGGAAATTGCTTGAAACTCTTGAAATCCATCTTGAATCCTTCTTGAGATTGCTTTGTACTTGTTCTTGAAATTGAAATCCAGGAAATGGATAATGATTATTGGAATCCTCATTATCTTGATACTTGTCTGAAATTAATTCTTGCACTGTCCTTGGAATCTAGTTTGAATTGTCCTTGAAAACCATTCTTGTTCTGACACTGGTTCTTGCTCAAATTCTGTATATTGCTCTTGCTTAGATCCTGAATATTCTGCTAGTTCTTGTTCTAGTGTACCTGTTGATCTTGATTTTGATTTTTGTTCATATGGACACCTCTTTAGGAGGGGTGATGATTATTAGGAAATACCTATGTGAGGCATCCTAATTCCTGTTTCTCGCAAGTGTTAGTCTCTGTATTCTTGATGTCCTAGCTTTGACTTGACTCTAAGATGTCTAGGATGACTTGATTGTAAACCTGCTTAGCCTCCATGAGCTACGAGGTGAAGGGGTAGTCTTTAAAGTGCCTGATGCCTTAGAGTTTTGTTCCAAGTGAAATGATTCTTTTATCTAGCTGCTTGGATTTTTGTTTGCCCTTTTAATTAGAAGACATGAATCTTCTAAGCATCTTGATCCCAGCCATTGCTTTGTTTTGTTAATTAATTCTAGTACTTGAGGTGCTAGATTTTGACACCCTGATTATATCTGCTCTTGAATTCTTGTTTTCATTGTCATTATTGAAATCTCTTTTGTGGGTCTAATCCTTGAATTCTATTGCTTGTTTCATGATTAACTCTTGTCTCTCAATTTTGATTGCTTGGTTAAATTTAATCTTGATTCTTGGTGAATGCCGTTTTGTTGCTAATTTTTGAGGCATTCTACCTTGTACTCTTGTGTTCCAGTATTCTTACAAGCATTCATATTTTCCATTGATTTCATTCTGATGATACTTTGGAAATTTCATGTCATTTGATGGGTCTAGCTTTTAACTCTTGTTAATTGCTAAAATTTGCCTCTTGATTCCAGTTGCTTTGTCAAACATGATCTTATTTATTGGTTACCCTTGTTTTGTGGCAAATGTATAAGGCATCCATGCACTCGTTCATTCATTCATTCATGATTCGTACATCCATTGGATGCTTATCCGTCTTTGATAAGAGTTTAAAATTTTGTTGTACTCGTGTTTAAATCAATGCCATTCTTTGCCAACTCGTCTTGTGTTGGGTTCAAAGCGTAACCCCACAACTGTTTCTTTTGTGGCCTTGGCAGGATTTATTTCTATTCCTTGTGCTTTCCGTATTACCCCAGCCTCCAGTAGCTTATTTGATGGCAAATCTTGTTAAGTGATTAGTGTTCTGCCTTTTGTGATTAGTTGTGGTTTGATATCAGAGTGGCGCAGCGGAAGCGTAATAGGCCGTGTTCTGTTCTTAGAAAGTGATGAGGCAATTGTTTTGTCTCGGATTGTGTGAAGCCATTCACTACTTGATATGGTCCTCAATTTGAGTTTTGGGGACAAAACTCCTTTTTAGGAGGGGTGAGTGTAATATCCCAAATTTTCGGGAATATTTAAGTGTAAGTTAAGGATTAAATTGTGAGAAAATATTGTTTTGGGCCTAATAGCCAACATTCCCAAA